AGAGAGAGAGAGAGAGAGTAAATGAGTGAGTTAGTGCAGCGTGACTCTGAGTGTGGGTGTGCATGATTCTTTAGTTTATATGCATCCGTGATTATGTGTGTGTGTGTGTGACTCTGGCTACCTTCAGGGACACATTTCAGACTTAAGACCAGTTAATAAGGGATGGCTTCTCCAATCGGGGACAAAAGACGTGTCCCCACTTTGGAAAAAAAGGTTAAGATTAAGGTTCAACTATTGGTGGTTATGTTATGGTTCATCTCCAGGAAATAAATGGGAAATGAAAGTCTATGCAATGCCCCCAAAAGTGACATAGGTAAACATATGTATGTGTGTGTGTGCATGTGTGTGTGACCATTAGAGGATCACACACTTGCCCTTCTCCACCCAGGGGTTGGCTCTCATCAGCTCCGGGTTCAGAAATGGATCTTCACAAACACAACCCTCAATCCACTTCACCAGTCTACAAACAGAAAAAAACACGCAGCGTCAGCACAAATCTGATACTTGATACTTTAGAGCTTGTGTGTGTGTGTACAGTACACACTCACTCAGTAACGGTGATGGAGGATTTCTCTCTGTTGATTGCCAGCTGATACTGAAGGCTTTCCACTTCTCTCCTCATCTGTGGAACGTCTAACTCCTCCATGATGCTTCTGCTGTTCACGCACGCACACAGAGGAAAAATAAAACACACAACAGACTGAAGCTTGAGTCGATTACCGGTTCAGACACACAGATGTCGCATCAAAACTCGAGGAGAAAAAAAAAATGAACCAAATGTTTTGTTGTAAGAGAGCCAGTGAAGTTCAGCTACAGTTCAATCTTGTATAAAAAAAAACTTTCTGCTTTCACATGAGCAAATATGTGAAGTTCTACAGTGAACAGAGCAAACTAAACTGTAATTATGTGTTTATTGTACAATGAAGATGTCACTGTTTCAGTGGTTTCTAGCCTTTGTGGTTTTTGACCGAAAAGCCACGTACCAGAGCGACCAAAGAGTCGTGAAAAAAGAGGAAAGTTGGTGTAAAAAAAGCTTCCGTGTTTATTTTTTGGTGCCTTTTTAAAAAACATTTTGATAGTCCAGAAAGGAGGCGCCCTGTTAGCTCACCTGGTAGAGCTGGTGCCCCATGAACCAAAGCTGCGTCCATGCTGCAGCGGCCGTGGGTTCGACTCTGTGGCCCTTTGCCTACTCTCACCCCCCCCCTCCTTTCCTGTCACTATCAATTGAAGGTCATAAAAGCCCCCAAAATATATGTATATTAAAAAATAAATTAGATGGACAAAAAAGTAGGGGGAGAGAGGGGTAATGGAGCCGGATTCAAACCGGGGCCACTGCAGTCAGGACTCAAAGTGAGCTACCAGGACGACTCTGAAAAAACATCTGTGATAATGTGAAGCAGAAATGTGTTTCAAGTCATCCTCTGACCACATTGGTGGGAAGCATTAATCTGTCTATTAGCTTATCTATCTATTACAATATCTGATTTAAAAAAAAAAACCTTTGGGGAGCTTCACTGAACCGCAGAGGAAGTGGTTAATAGGACGTATGCATATTGATGTTGTTGACCCATTTATTGAGACCATATGTCAAATACTATTTTTCCCATGAAGCATCTTGTGTATGAGTGCTTCTGCTAGTGAGGGACATTCTCTTGTTTCAACCTTAAACTTTAAAGTAGAAGTAGAACCAACTCAGTGTAGAAGTTCTCTAGTTTGTGAGTTTCTTACTGCCAGAAAATCCCACAAAAGAAAAAGACCAAAACCAAAAGTATATTAGTCCGTCTCTTCATATTTTCCAGCTTCCCTCCCGTCTGTCGCTCTCCCCCCTCCTATTGGATAGTACTGACGACGTCAATCAGTAAAAATCAGGTCACATATATATAGTTTCATATTTAAAAATAGGCTCAGTAATTCCATAACCAGGCACTGTAGCCTTCAGCAAATGTTACTCAATCAATAATAAATAGTACTTTCATTAGGGGACTATTTTCACCGGCATTATCACACATCTGAGTGTTTGAGGCAGCGTGGTCGGTGTATGTGGGATCAACTCAAAATAAACTACAATATGTATTCATGGTAATAAAGGAAGTTGTCAGCCACGGTAACAGTGTGGCTTTGATATGTTTTATTCCTCTGAGCTGTCTCCTCTGTTGCTACAGACAACATTTGTGAAAAGGATCAATTCATAGCTGGTTTTAGTATTTTCATGGGATTTGTTAATGAAATGAAGAAATATACTTATAAATCATTAAAAAAAGTAAAAGTTTAGAAGAATTTAGCAGGAAAATGCCCTTAACCACCAAAAGTAGAAGTATTACTGTGTTAAATAATAATATGTTAACAGCAATGGTTGTAATAGGTCCGGTTGGTACAAATGTGAAGCTGCTTTTATTAATTTTATCTACAGCAATGAACCCTGTTTCAAGAGATTATAATGTTTTATACTATCTGTAAAGTATTTCCATGTTTATAAGTACAAGTTAATACTACAACAGTCAGTCGTCATAAAGCCTGTAATAATGTTGTTGATATTTTTAGGGATGTAGTTTGAGGTGCTGTTGGACTGAATTATACAGAGAGGTGTAATGAATACAACTTGATTGTACAATTGAATCAACACCTCTCTAAAACAATTTAAAAAGCCATAATAACCTTCATGAAGATATGATTTACTGCAGGACGGGTTGGATTAAACTAAAAATAATAAGTTGCGCCAAATGGAAAAAATCCTTTCACAGTAAAAACCTGGAAGTTCGTTCAACTCAAACTGTTTGAGGAAACTAATTGAACAGTTTAAATGTATTAACTCCGACAGATGAAGCATGAATGAATCTTTGATTGAGTACAAGTATCTCATTTATTGTCGAGGTAAATTAAGTTAATTGTACTTAAAACTAGTGAGTATATTACACTCAAATGCAGCATTTCTCCAAATTAATTTAACATGTGTTAACAGAATTTATCTGAAGACTTGCATCTTAATGCATCTTCATACAAATGAAGATGCAAATGTTTCTCTTCCACTAAAGCAAATTGTTACATTATCTGTCAGAACAGCTGACGTATGATTTATCAAACAATTATACACTTAATGATTTATCAAAAAGATGGTAGCCGTTTTATTATAAATATAAAGTCAACTTTAAAGAAAACGAGTCGATGGCTCAAACTGGAATTATATAATCTAATAGTTAAAATACTCACAAATGAGTTACTGGTTCATTTTTGATTTGGGGTTAAGTTGTGTTTACGCACTTCTTTTATGAAGATAGTAGGATTTACAGTGTAAAATCAAGTTGCAGCATAACACTAAAGTACAATTTGAAGGAATTTATACTCAACTTCAGCAGTTCAACTTCTCAGACACACTCTCTCTTTATATATCTGGCTCTTTAAAAAAATTTTTTAAATACCCTGGAGTGATCCAACAAAAGTTGCCCCGGCCTGCCTTTACTGTCTTAATATTTGTACTTATTGTAAAGTCTGCCCCACCCCTGGCCACAGGGCCACATTACAGCAGGAAGGAGAGAGAGAGAAGGAGAGAAGAGAGAGGGCCCAGATGAGACTTCAGACCGACCCTGGATCAGTTAAGTCTCCCTATTGGAAACTGTCTCTCCCTCCTCCTCCCTCTCATCCTCTCTCATCTTTTTTTAATGGATCTAAGAGTCGGCTGCCCGGTTTCCTCCACCAGCATCCATCCTGCTGCAGCCAGCTGTTCCACGATGAATAAGGAGCCTTCATCATTTCCATTTATAAATCTGCTCCTAATGTGTTTAACAGGGCAGCAGTCTCCATCACTCAAGCAGCTATGTTAGAAGGCTCACACATCCACTCCTGCAATAGAATCGCTTTAAAACACATACACATCAGTGTGTGGTGTGTGTGTGTGTATGTGTGTGTGTGTGTGGGGAGATAAAGACGAGTATAGATGCTATCACAGTGTGCCTTAAAACACAGGAGGTCAAACGCAGAATGTATTTGTGATTATTATATGTGGATGAAACAAACACACAACACACACACACACCACACACACACACACAAACACAAACAACAACCGCTCTTACCGTCGGGGGCCCACCGGAGCAATACCACCGCTGGTCGATTTAACGTGCAGCCGAGCTGATGGAGGATGCAGGCGACAATAACGCTGAGAGTCGGTGCAGTTGTCCCCGGCAGAGGATCCGGGCTTCAGTGCAGCAGGAGGAAAGAGGAAGAAGAAGAAGAGAGGAGGAGTGAGCAGGCGTGTGTGTGTGTGTGTCGGCTGTCCGCGGTGCAGGGCACTCCCCTGCGCTCGTCTCCGGTAGCGACTGGATGCGGGATGCGCAGGGCGGAGAAAACGAGCTCCCCCCTCAGCCGCCCGGTTTTGACAGTCAAACGAGGGCTGGAGCCGAGGACGGATCCTGTATGGAAATCCGGACACGCAAAAAAAACAAAAACACGCAAATGAGGAGGCTCCGGAGGAATAAACAAGCCGGGGGAGTTCATTTACTATTCAGATGACCGGAGATGAGGTCGGTTTGTGTGTGAGGGTGAGAGCAAAAAGGAGAAATTTGAGGTTGAAAAACACAAAAGACCCAAAAAATGTTGTTTTTCTTTTTTTTCTCGGGCTAGTAAGTCACAAAAACCATCTGAGATGAGGATTTCTCATCTTATATGTTTATATCTATATATATGTTATTGGTCTGGGGATGTGAAATAAGAATTGATGTTGTTTTCAGGGACAATACAGATACTGATTATTAGTAATCAAGGAGACTGATATACATTGCAGTAAAGTTTAATATCTGAAGAGTCTGAATTTAGAAGCAGTGGAGTGTAAATAAGCACATTTATCTACCAAAGTACCACAAAAGCACAATTTGGATTTATTAACTTCCACTTCATTACACCCCACTATCTAAAATTCACATTAATATAAAATATGAATCAACTAATAAATGATTATAGATTAAGCTACCCAGTAGTATGAAATATTCAAGATGAGCTCCCTCTTTACCAGCTGCAACATTTAACAATGACAGCAGTTATACAGGGTTGTTACTCAATATCAGCCAATACACACAGTTCAGGTATTGAGGAAAAAAAGGAATTGGATTCTCTAACTTATTGTATTATTCCCTAATCTCTCAGGTCTAATTGGTTCTGTACTGCTTTTAAACCCAATTCAAAGACATCTGTGACCCAAACGTTAAAAGGCTCCATATGAAGCTATAAAGGTTCATTTTATCATCCTTTTCAAAACTCTTTAGTGAATGTAAACATGCAAGATTTATGGAGCTTCAAGCTGTGAGCACACATCTGAAATGAGGAATGTGTCTCTGTTGTGTCCATCTAACAGGTTAACATTAACTCTCGGTAAACAAATACCAAATTGGCTTTAGACAAGCAGATTCTTAGGCCTTTAAATCTTTCCTGGCAAGCAAACTTACTTTATTAGTATGTTTGGTTTCAAGGTGTCCTGAGAAACCTGGAAGTGTACACACTAGCTCTCCATCATGGAAACCTAGAACCAAATATCCTGGAAGTTTCACTATCACTATAATCTCTATGTAAATCTGGGTGCATATTTATTTTGAAGCTCGACTGTTGGTAGTAAACACAAGCTGGTTTACGGACGCAGAGCAAGAACTGAGTATTACAAAAATGCAGCAATACTAGAGTATGAAGGTTTCCCAGTAACGTCAGACATCCAGAAAGAGTTAACTCAGTTACGGTTTATTAAAACAAGTTTACAGTTTGATGCAGACAGTAGCTTTAATATTCAGACACCATTGTGCATTTAAAAACTGTAGTTTCATGATTCAGGTTTGTTCCAGTCGCTCGACGCAGCAGTTTTCTGGCCCGCGGTGACATTTGGATAAAAGGATTTGGGGAACCTGAAAGAGACATGCAGGTCAGACTACAGTCGGTGTGACAAACAGAAATATGAGTCTTTGTAGCCTCATAAGTTAAAATCAGGAGCAAGCAGCTCTCATACAAAGGTGTCAGAAACTGTCATTAGCTAAACCACTTCTACTTACCAATAAAGTAGACCAGTCATCGTCAGGATCTTGAATTTGAGTCTTAATCAACCTGTAAAAGAGCTCTGTTTTAATTCACATAAGAAACTAAATGTGTACGTACATATAATGTATGAGCCTCAGAAGAAAGTTCGAATCAGGAGCTGGAGTTCAGCTCTCATAGTAGGTGTCAGAAAAGTTTATATTTTAGTTTGTCATCACCGGCTAGAAGTTACTCTAATGCAAACATAGTGCACGGACTCACCAGCTCTCAAACCCCCCGCTGGGTCCCGGACAACAAGAACCTCCATCTTCACACAGCCAGCTCTGAAGTTCTCAGCCTTCAGGAAAGTGAACAGATTAAACAAAAGTTAGGAAAAGTGACAATTTGGATGTAAAGAGTGGATTAATAGACTAATAAAGCCTCAGAATAAAGTTCGAATCAGGAGCTGCAGTACAGCTCTCATAGTAGGTGTCAGAAAAGTTTATTTTGAGTCTGTCATCACCGGCTGTTTTATAATAATTCTCATTTCACAATAGTTTTAATGTGTGAACTCACCTGGCGAGGAATTCAACTCCAATCTCAGGATTCATTCTCGAGCGTTGAGGGATTGAATTCAGGCAGCTCCCAGAGTCTTCAGTCACCATCCATCAAAAGTCTCCCCCATTACCACTTATTAACTGTACAGGGGAAAGAGGGGGATTGAGATTTAAAACAAGTTGTTTTTGTTCAGGCAGGTCATCTTTAGTTTCTTCATCTCAGTTGATCATACAAGTCATCATGGTGCTGACTCCATGTGACCTTTGATGAAAGAGGAAAAGCAAAGTTCAGGAAAAATCCCAGCTGAACCAGTTGTAATGTTAACCATTTCAAAATATAAGTCACACAGTGCAATACCATAGATATTAAAGTCTATTTAAGGGGGACCTCTGAGCTGTTCAATGGAAGTTGGATTCAAGATTCCTTTATTATATCTTCTTATACAAAGTAAGATACTTAAAGTAACAAATGAAAAACAAGATTTCAAAGTAAAAACATGCATTGCATAGCTCCCATATCCCCATTTGTGTGCTTCAGAAGGACAAACACCGCGTGGTGGGCCCTTTCAGGTCAGCCACGTGTTGCTTTTCAGACCAACATGATAAATTATAATAAAATGTCACAATGTAAATAATACTCACTAGTTTGTGTGACTCCTCTCTGGTCAGCCTTCTTCATGCAGAACTGACCTGCTCGGGTCATTTCTGCTGCAATGAGGTGAAGCTTGAAAAGACTGAACGCAGAAACGAGTCTCCCTCTCTGCTGCCATGCTGCCAAAGAACTACGGTACCCGAGGAGGCTCGTATTTATACGGCTTCCGTCCAACGCGAAAGTCCCTCCTCTTTCTGGGCTGGTTGGTTATCTAGCAGCACTTTCGTTGACCTTTCTGAAGGCGGAGGACTCGTTATGGGACTTTCTGGACATATTATATGCTTATCGGTGCACCATTAATATACTGGAGCACGCTTTCTGAACAACTACCCGCTTTAACGACGATAAAACAACGATAGCATTGAACAGCATCTCCCATGAGTCTTAGAGGCAGAAGCTGGGAGTTGTAGTTTTTATATACTAACGATAAAATAGTTATTTCATGGAGGTTAAAATCATACTGTTAATGGTTGAAATGTTATTATCAGGCCTACTTTTGATCTGGTAACAGTTTTATTACGTTTTGTTTCAATAAAAAGGTAAGAACTTGATAAATGCTGAGTTCAAAGTGCCCCAGCAGAAAGCCTCCACTAACCAAACCCTATACAATTTTCTCATGATTTAAGAAGCCATATATTTTTTTCAATGTACTTATTTAATTGCCCAGTTATATTTTTAATTAAATAATTGAATCTCTGTACATTATACTTTAAATGTTATTTCAGTGCCTTCTCTTCACTGTCTGGTATGTTTATTCTGAGAAAGAAAACATTTAATGTAATTTTTTTGCCTAAAACTCTCTAAAATATTTAGTCTAAAAGTATCTGTTGGCCCATAAGACATAAGACATTTTATCTGTCATTGTGGCTGAATACAACAACATTTTGTTAACTCTCAGTGACCAGCGGATGAGTAAACAAGATAATAAACATAAATATGAAGAAGTATCTTTATATTTAAAGTAATAAAGGCACTGTTTGCAGAATGTAAACTCCTCATGTCATTTAACCTCCCAAAATCAAAAAAAGATACTGCAGATCGCATGACCCTGCTGTCTTTAATGGTAGCAACAGTTTGGGGGAAGACCCTTTCTTGTTTCACCTGGGCCAAAACCTTATCCTCCAACATGTTGTGGAAAGAGAAAGTGAGTATGAGTATCTAAAAGAACCACACTTAAAGAGTCGTGTAAGGTTTAATTTATACATTTATTCTGATCACAGCTGTACAGGAATGCATCGTCACAGCAGAAACACAACCTAAACCCAACCATGGCACAACAGCCGTCACAACACATCCAGAAGTCAACCATAAATGTACAGGCTCAATCAGCTCACCTCAATTCAATGTCTATAATATCATCATCATTATTATTATTATTAATAATATTATTATTATTATTCACATAGAACCATCTGTCTTTCAAATATATCTTTGTTTTCAAAGAGCATAAAAATACAAGTGGACTCTTCATTGGGATGAACACTGGTGGCTGATCCACTGTCTGGCCTACATGAGGAGGGGGGACCACTGAAAACTGGGGAGCCAAGGAAGAGCGGAGCCAATTTATTACAGCTTACACGGGGGCTTATATGGGCTCGTACGAGGCTTCTCAATGGTTACAGGAGGACTGCAGACAGGGTGATTGATTTTTAAGGGACCATATTGGACTCACAACTCAACCTATAAGCTACTTTTGACATCACACACAAGGAGCGAGGGTTTGTAAGGAACCAGAAAACACGTTAAAGGGACAGGGGGGGGGGAATCAAGAAGAAAAAAAAGAGAATATTCTGAATATATGAAAGAACACTACCAAGGCACAGAGAGATGCAGAGTTAACAAAACAGACAGAGGGAGATAAAAAGGGGGGAAGACAAGATGGAAGGTGGGCAGATTGGAGGCAGTTTCACTAACCAACACTAGAGGGAGCTCTAACAGCTCAAATACCCAGGTATATTATAAACTCTATGTATGTATACTGGATGTACTATATAAAGCATTGAAATATAGGATTATCTTTTAAAAACACTGTTCACTTGCAGCAGGACAAAGGGATACACCGCATGAGTGTGCTTGTATATATGTGTCTTTGCATGTAAATGTGTGTATGTATATGTGTATGTGAATCATTTCCAAGCAAACCTCCATAGATGGAGCTAAACACCAACAAAGCAGAACACCAGCGAGATTACAACCAATGTAATGTGCATTTCTGTGTGTGTGTGTGTGTGTTTGTGTCTCAAAATTCATGGACACACATCTATATCGTCGTTCTGATCATTAGAATAACTACTGTACGAGAGGGAGGACATTGACATGAGCATCAGCAGGGACTACACACGCTCGTAACGACAACAACGGCAACAATAACAACAACAGCAACAACAACAACATGAAAGAGAGACAACACACAGGTCAGGAAGTCCGGCTAGCCACAATCCTCCACTCACACAGAAGAGAAATGGAGGCTACGATTCATCTGGAAAAATGCATCCTTTTGACATCGCAGGACTGAGACAGACTCAGAAAGCGGCCTGTCGTTTTTTCATGTGCTTTTTAAAAATTCTCTCCGGTGTCTCATCTGTATGCATCTTGTCTATCTATCTAGCTATCTATCTATCTGCCTGTCTGTCAGTCAGTTTATGTGCTTATTTTTGCTTAAGCAATATGCTTATCTGTCTGTCTCCCTGTCGGACTGAGTTAGGATCTCTGTCCTATCCAGAGTCTGTAGAGATAAAAGGATGAGGAAAAATGATTGTGCTTCTCGATCCACACAGCCATCTGAGGCTGGGCGGCGGCGGCGGCGGCGGCGGCGGCTGGCCTGGCTGCAGAGGTCAGAGGTTGTGTGGGAGCGGCCTCCTCGCATCGGGAGGCGTACTAGAGCTACTGCACCAGACGAAGAGGACTCCCTTCCTCAGTATACTGGTCAAGGCTACATGAGAAGCGCTCACGCAAGGAGGGACACACGCTCAAAACACGCACACACACACACTCTCTCAGAGCGCCAGCATCGAGCCTTGGGAGAGTTTTCTTGATACACCTACGCATGATGGGGGAGAAAAAGGGAGAGGGCTTGTTGGAAACGAGGCGTGGGCAGGAGATCAGTCCAGCATCGCATCCAGTTGGTCTGCCAAGTCGTCAAACATGCTGCCGATGTCATCCAAGATGGAGACTGTTGACTTTTTACTGGAAAGAGAGCTGGAAGTTGGATAGCAAAAAGAAGGATGAGTTAGCAGATTGTGAAGCACGGCACAGTCAGAGGAGTGGATTAGAGATGTGAAATGGAGGCTGGAACTGGTTTGGACTGTGTCAATCGCTCAACTTTGGTTATCAGAGTGGTATTTCTCTTTTAATGATAACTGCAATGTTCGTCAACATACATACACAATAATCTCCTGGATAATTTAGACTTAGAATTTAATTTTGAGTTAGCTACCTGCTAGTGAGCGTGAGCCAAAACATGTTAGTGAAAATGAAATTAAACTTGCTATAAAGCTCCATAAAGTTGAGGGGAGCCGCAGATGGAGGTGATAAGTCTCAGTAGGTTTATCACTAGGGCGACTCCTTTCACTCTGTCATTTGATACGTTGTTGTAAAAATATAAATGAT